TTAGATGAAAAGATCCATTCATTTAGTTGAATTTTCAAGCTGTGCTTCAATTGTAGAAGGACATAATAACTTTTTGCTGAAGAAATTGAAGAAAGGAACTGGTGGAAACCACCTGATCTTTAACAGGTGAGATGCATCCACCAGTATGAGGTACATTAAACTGGGGCCCTTCTTCAATTTACAGCCAAATTGCTTTTTTACAACTAGGAGTTGTTCCAGTGCTTCTGCTTCTTATTGCACGTAGCAGGAACCTGGTTCAAAAGGGGCAACTCGGCCTGGTCCAGATAATGGAGCAGCAGCAACTCCTCTTTGATTCAGTAAACATCTGAAATGAGCCAACCTTCCAGTAACTTCACTTGCATCCTTGGCAAGCTTGTCATATGGTGTCCATAGCCGCTCTGCATATAAAAGGACAAGGGAAAAGGAATTAAACAACAAAATGATTCCATTAAGCCAAACACACACGCACACACCTCTATTCCAGAACCAGTGATCAGACCACTTTTTAAAGCAAATTTTGCTAGCAACGCAACAAGTTGCTTGGTTAGATCGTGGTCTAGTTCAAATATCTTCTTTTACCTCTACAAGCCTTAATAAACTAGTCTTTGTTCTCCAGTTACAATATCCTATGTTTGATTTTTTATTTTTTTTTATTAGTATAGAACTATAGATGCCAGAACAAGAAACAAGTAGTGTAGCGTGTTAAATGTTCTTCATTATAAAACTTCAATGCAAGCTCTATTTTATTGGCTACCAGGCTTAACTCCCAAGACATGAAGCCAAGAGTTAAAGCATAAAAAATCAAAACCATTGATTTGTTAACAATGTCGTGCCAGCAATAAGGTATTGGGGTAATGGAATGTTAACTTAGTAGACAATAAGTACCAGCAGCTGCTGCAGCACGTGGCCATATGGTTTGTTCTATATCTGACCCATCAATGTATTCACCCCACATGCATACCTCACCACCAATAACTAACTTCTGTTGCTTGGAGTTTGTAATATTTGTGAGTGGTTCATTCATATAGAATACCTGCCAGGTGGTGTCCAAGTAGTGCAAGTACCACTTATCCTGGTTGCTCACAATGCACCTTAATCCAGATGCCACCACTTGCTGAGCAACTCCACCACCGAGCCTGATTTAAATCAAAGCACAACTAGAAATCTCAGGAGAGGCATTATATGAGCAATGTATGGGCACTACGCTTCTACACCATCCGACATTTGAATCCAAAGCAAAGTTTGCATATTGACTAGAAAATTATAAGTTGCACTTGCTTTGGAAATATTTAGCAGTGAAAATTTCCTAACTATGTAAGACCAAAAACAATATAACTATGAAGGTTTCAAATGATAGTTACTAGAAATTACCTTGTGGGCGGTGTGGCAAGTGGTCAATTAAGAACCCTTTCCCTTGAACTATCTCATCAGAGGAAAAGAGTACAATAGCTCATAAAACAAGATGCTTAGAGAAATCTATCATAAAGTTGAATTCCATTTCTACCACCACCAAAATCAATTAGTTATGGAGTGTTATAACTTATAAGACTCTTCATCCTTAAGCCACAATTTTATGCCCTTATAAACTGGGAAAAGGGGAAATTTGGTAGAACAGGATAAAAGTATAGCTTCAAATTGAAGTTGTCATTATTTTTCTTAATTTATGAGCAAAAGTTAAAATTGCCAAGGCAATAAACAAGGGAGATAGTCAAATTGAAGTCAAAATTATGTTTCTTAATTTATTGACTTTTATGCATGGAAAAGAGAGTATTAAATTTAAGATGCATCATGACAAGAAACAAGACATGCAGAGAGAATCATGTGATACACAGTCTAGATGGCAGTCAAGAGGAGTATAACATACCAGTTGTGCACCACAGTTTTACGGCTCAATTTATTGCCAAAGGTGTTAAATGTCTCCTCCCTGTTATATTTTATAAGTGATTGATAGAATTTCAAATTGAAAAAGCCATTTATTTGTGGACATAAAAAGGTTTTATGTAGAAAACAATGTAATTGACTAAATAGAACAAGATGCATACCAGTTAACAATTTCATATCCATGGGACAGAGCTATATTCTGAGCTCTCAAGACAAAGTACTGATAAGCTTGAGATTCATTCATGTGATGCTTCTTTAACCT